TTAAGATATTCTATTTTTAAATATGGATGTAGTACCTTCAAGCCGAGGCAGTATCTCTATAAGGTTTTATCTTTATAGAACCTCATTGTAGCGCCTCGCCCGCAAGCGACCTCGGCTATAAACTCCAATAAACATTAAAAATATATCTTCCTTGCCTCAGCTTGCAATTGCAGTTTATATAAAAAAGTTTTCGAGGTTATATCTTCAAGCCGAGGTCGCTTGCGGCCGAGGCAGTAGCTCTATAACGTTTTATCTTTATGGAGCTTCATTGTAGCGCTTCGCCCGAAAGCGCCGCATCTTTACAACTTTATAATCAGCAAAAATACGTCTTCCTTATGTTAATATACAGTAGCTATGTGCATAACAAGGTTGCGATGTAGTATCTTCAAGCCGAGGCAGTATCTCTATAAGGTTTTATCTTTATAGAACCTCATTGTAGCGCCTCGCCCGCACGCGACCTCGGCTATAACCTCTAATAAACGTTAAAAATATATCTTCCTTGCCTCAGCTTGCAATTGCAGTTTATGTAAAACAGTTTTCGAGGTTATATCTTGAAGCCGAGGTCGCTTGCGGCCGAGGCAGTAGCTTTATAACATTTTATCTTTATGGAGCTTCATTGTAGCGTCTCGCCCGAAAGCGCCTCATCTTTACAACTTTATAATCAGCAAAAATACGTCTTCCTTATGTTAATATACGGTAGCTATGTGCATAACAAGGTTGCGATGTAGTATCTTCAAGCTGAGGCAGTATCTCTATAAGGTTTTATCTTTATAGAACCTCATTGTAGCGCCTCGCCCGCAAGCGACCTCGGCTATAAACTCCAATAAACATTAAAAATATATCTTCCTTGCCTCAGCTTGCAATTGCAGTTTATATAAAAAAGTTTTCGAGGTTATATCTTCAAGCCGAGGTCGCTTGCGGCCGAGGCAGTAGCTCTATAACGTTTTATCTTTATGGAGCTTCATTGTAGCGCTTCGCCCGAAAGCGCCGCATCTTTACAACTTTATAATCAGCAAAAATACGTCTTCCTTATGTTAATATACAGTAGCTATGTGCATAACAAGGTTGCGATGTAGTACCTTCAAGCCGAGGCAGTATCTCTATAAGGTTTTATCTTTATAGAACCTCATTGTAGCGCCTCGCCCGCAAGCGACCTCGGCTATAAACTCCAATAAACATTAAAAATATATCTTCCTTGCCTCAGCTTGCAATTGCAGTTTATGTAAAACAGTTTTCGAGGTTATATCTTGAAGCCGAGGTCGCTTGCGGCCGAGGCAGTAGCTTTATGACGTTTTATCTTTATGGAGCTTCATTGTAGCGCCTCGCCCGAAAGCGCCTCATCTTTACAACTTTATAATCAGCAAAAATACGTCTTCCTTACGTCAATATACAGTAGCTATGTACATAACAAGGTTGCGATGTAGTATCTTTAAGTCGAGGCAGTATCTCTATAAGGTTTTATCTTTATAGAACCTCATTATAGCGCCTCGCCCGCACGCGACCTCGGCTATAACCTCTAATAAACAAGAAAGACAAGATAACTAATTCGAATCGAAATGATGTGGCCATCTATCTATATCTGTAGAATTACTTTTTATTGAAGATATGCTTTTCATAATATCAATGTCATTAACTGGGTTAACGGAAAAAGTTGTATTAATCAACTTATTATTAATATAAAAGTCAGAAAGTTAATTATCCTGAATTAGGATTCATAACTGATGGAACTGATTGCGCTATGAAGTTTACAAAAAAAAGTAGTTTATCTTGTCAGAATTATGGAGATATCCTGCAATTATGCTTTCTTATAGCTTTCTTTTTCCTGTCTATAGCAGTATTTGTCATATTTCTTAAATCTTTATAGTAATTCCATGCTGGAAGTGACTTAGACATTCCGTAAGCCATTTTTATTGGTTAAAAACCGCTGGCAAAAACAAACGTACACATTTTACCGTTTGCAAACGTTGCCTGTTGATGAACAAAAGCGAGGTTAAGTAATATTGGAGCCAGCTGATATTGTATAAAAAATTAATAAATTCTCGAAGGACGTTAAGTAGTTGCTTTTTTGGTCGATTGTGGATTTTCCTCTAATAAATCAGATTTCATATCCTAAAATCTTTTCTTTATGTGGATGAACTTCTTTTGGCAAAGTTTGTCTTTTTTGTATATGGGGTTATTTTTACCTTGTTCCATTTCTTTGGTATACCTTGTTTTTGCCAAACCTTTTTAATCGTTACATGTAAAATTTCCTACTTCCCATTCTGAACAGTTTTGACTAAATATTACCAATGCTAGGATATCCCTTTGGTATAAAATGTTTGTAAAATTATAGATTTTGTAATTTATACCAGAGTATCAACAGAAGTAAAAGATTTTGATAAAGCTATAGGAAAATGAGGTAATATAGTGATGAACCATATTGTGGTACTCAATATACAAATACTTGCACGAGAAAATAAATTGCTTGATATGAAATAACCGGATATAGCAGAGATATTCGTTTGAATTGTGCCTACTTAATGGTGAATATTATATATAAAGTTAAAAAAAAATCATACATCTTGCATTTGCTTCAATTTATTTTTGGCATCATCCAATTTTCTCGCAATAATAATCCCGCTTTGTCCCGTTTTGCTCTTTTTTTCTCGAGCTTCCGCGTTCGTTACAATCGCATCCCTCCTTGAGATGCAATGATCCAAATCGTGAATTAGTTTATCTTGGGCCCTCTTTAATTGACCGTATCTAACCTAAAAAAAATTTGATAATTATTTAATTCCTCATTTTGAATCATTTTTACCCTCATCCTATGAATTTCACTTCTCATCATTCCAACCTCCCCACCCGCCGATTTCGCGTCATTGATATTCTTTTTCGTTTCAACCAACATTTTCCAATGTTTCTCCCATTCTAAAGCTTCGCGATTTTTATCGATTAGGTCGGTGCTGAGTTGTTGAATATCGTTTTGTAAGTCTTGTATGTCCGATTCTAATTTTATTATTGACAGTTCAAAATCCTAAAATATTTTATATAAAAAAGTAATAATAAGTATTTTATTAATCACTTTTAATCGGCAAGTAAAATCATTTTGAAACATTTCATTCGCTTCATCGAGAAATTGTTTGCTGTTTTTCTTTTTCCCTAATTGCTCGGTGCAATTTAAAATTTGATTTTGTAACTTTTTAATCGACCTCGTCATATTCGCCTCTTGTTTATTATACAAATCTAATTCATCGTTCACTTTTAAATTTCTTTGCTCGAGAATCATTGTTTCTAAAAATTAAAATTCTTAAACATTTTTTTTATTACTTATTATAAATAAAATTTACGTTTTCTTAATAGATTGCTGTCGTGAATTTGTTGTTGGCGTTGTTCCGATAAAAATACAACGTGGCTTTGTTCTCTTAACCAAAATCTTTGTAACTCTTTATTTTTTTCTTGTACTTCCGCAATGTGTTGTTCTAAAGCGTTAATTTTTAATTCGTGAGGACTTCTTTCCACATTTCCAGCCCTTTCCATTAAAGCCTCGTATTTTTGGTTCAAAACGTGAACATCTCGTTCTCTTTTCGCGGTTAAATTCACCAAATATTCACTTTGGCTGATTACGGAATTCAATTTCATCTCAACCTCGTTTTGTTGCACCAACAACTCCTTTAAATGACTTTCAAGTTCAGCATTGAACCTTTTTTGGCTCTCAATATCCATAAGAATTTTTGCGTTTTTATTTTCAGTTGTGCTTAAAGATATTTCTAAAACCCGATTTTTTTCTCGGACTTCCCGCAACGTTTTCGCCATGTATTTCGATGCTTTATCGTTGGTTATTTGATCTTGAAGCGCCGTCACTATCGCTTCTTCAATTTCGTGCTTTTTCACATCAAACTTTTGGATATCGTGCAATGTTGCGTTGATTTGCTTGGTTAAAACGTGATTTTCTATCGCTGCTTTTTGTAAATCTCGTTCTGTTTGATCAACTATTGCTTGAACTTGCATTACCGCTCTTTCCAAAGCGAGCCGTTTTGATTCTTCGACGTCAACTTGGTGTCTACACGCGCTTATATCGCTTTCTAATCTTGCTTTAAACATCGTTAATGACTCGTTTATGTTCATTTCTGTTTTGCAAAGTTTTTTTAATTGTTCCGTTTCGGTTATTATACTTCTTAATTTTTCATTTGCTGTCCTATATAAATATAAAAATTAAATATCTAAATTTAACATTTTTTTGTTTTACACAGGGACGATAGAATCTAAGAGGACTGTTACGTCCCAGAACAGCTCGATGGACCGTTCGTGACGTCACGCATGGGTCTGAAGACACACAGGTAAGCCCAAAACATTCTTGTTCTAGGCCTAGTGTTACTAGTAGAGATAGTGGTAGTACTAATAGCTTGAAAAATCTATTCTCGAAGTTTAAATCTAGGTTTATTAATTACATTCATAAATCTACCATAAGTCAGAAACTGTAGCGGATAGAATAAAATGTTGTGCACCAAAATTGTTCATTTTGAACCAAAAAAGTACAATCCATAACAAAGTTTTCCTCTAGATGTCTACATTTTCTGCAAACCAACCTATGATCTTCTAAATGTCAAAATCGATCGCACATTAATAAATCTGGCATAAACCAGAAACTATAAGCGATAGAGAAAAATGTTTTGCACCAAAATTGTTCATTTTGAACCAGAAAAGCATAATCCTTAACAAAGATTTCTTCTAGATTTCTGCAAACTAACCGTAATCTTCTAAATGTCAAAATCGACCACTTACACTCATAAATCTGCCATAAGTCAGAAACTATAACTGATAGAATAAAATGTTGTGCACCAAAATTGTTCATTTTGAACCAAAAAAGTACAATCCATAACAAAAATTTCTTCTAGTTGTCTGCATTTTTGAAAAAAACTAATCCATAATCTTCTAAATGTCAAATTCCAACAGTTATGTTTATAAATCTGATATAAGTCAGAAGCTATAACTGATAGAGAAAAATATTGTGAACCAAAATTGTTCATTTTGAATCAAAAACGCATAATCCATAACGAAGATCTCTTCTAGATATCTGCATTTTCTGCAAACCAACCTATGATCTTCTAAATGTCAAAATCGAACACTTACATTCATAAATCTGCCATAAGTCACAAACTATAACCGATAGAATAAAATGTTGTGCACCAAAATTGTTCATTTTGAACCAAAAAAGTATAATCCATAACAAAGATTTCTTCTAGTGGTCTGCATTTTTGAAAAAAACTAATCCATAATCTTCTAAATGTCAAATTCTAGCACTTATGTTCATAAATCTGTCATAAGTCAGAAGCTATAACTGATAGAGAAAAATATTGTGCATTAAAATTGTTTATTTTGAATCGATGATCTTCTAAATGTCAAAATCGATCGCTTATATTAATATATTAATATAATAATGATCTATTCTACATGTCTGCATTTTCTGCAAAGTAACCCATAATCTTCCAAATATCAAAGTCGAACACTTTCACTAATATAGCTGACACTGCTCAAACATTGTGATTGATAGAGAAAAATGTTGCACACCAAAATTGGTCATTTTGAACCAAGAAAGCATAATTTACAACAAAGTATATGTGAATTAAAAAGAAACAGAAATAAGCCGTGCGGGAAGAGGAGGTTCCGATCCGACCAATCGGAAAAGATGATGCTGGTATGTGTTCTAGACTGGACGTCGCGCCTTTATTTGTTTATGTAGGAAAAATAAAGGTGTGACATTCTGTCTGGAACACACACCACCTCGATTGGGGTCGAAATTTTTTCGGTAGATTATTTTTGGAATAACAATTAAAACGAGAACTAACGCTAGGACTAGAACTAGAAAGTTAAACCCGAATGATTATTTTCTGTATTACTCCTTTTAGATTCTACCGTCTTTAATTGTACTTACTGTAACTCTTGATAAATTTGATTATAATGTTTATCCCTAGCACCAATAGCAATTACAACGGAGTGCCATCCTCGAATTAAACATCGATGTTCAGCTTGCGTCGCTTCAATATCAGTATTACTCATAGCTAAATTTTGCGCCAAAGTTTCACGTTCTGCCTCCTTAACCCTAAGTTGCATCAAAATAGTTTCTAATTCAGCTTCAAGTTTCCAAATTTCCGTCGTTAATTTATAAACTAAAACGTCGAGTTCGCGTTTTTCTTCGGCAAATTTCAATTTATCTTTTCTGGTTTTATCGAAAATTCTTTGATTCGTTTTTAATTCGCTTTCGATGTCAGTTTCCCATTCTTGCATTTGATTCATTAATAAATGCACCGATTCGACTTCCTTTCTTAATTCGATCTCTGTCTTTTCAGCTTCGAATTCTCGCTGTTTTTCTTCGTTAAAAAGTTTGGTGCTTTCTTGAAGTTCATTCTCCATTTCTTCGCGTGCTTCCGTTATATTTTCCAAATCGCTCACGAATTCGTCGATATCTTTTTGTTGTTTTATAACTCCCAATTGAAATTCGTAAGCTTGAGTACCCAAAGATTCTTTCTCCCCGATTTTTAGTTTAGCCCCGGCTTCGTATTCGAAAGCTTCGTTTTTTAAATGTTCGATTTGCCTTAAAAGGTGCTCTTTTAAGGCGAGTTGAAACTTTTGTAAAAGCGGATGTTCGGGTTCTAAGACCGCGTTTGCGGCTTCATCGTCTTCTTCTGCTTTCTTTTTAGCTTCTTCTTCCTCTTTTTTCTTGGTTTCTTCGTCCTTTTCGTCGTCGCGAGGCGATCCCGGTTGAGAATCTCCATCACCGTCTTCGCGCTTTGTAACAAAATATTTTTTAATCACAACCGGGGGTTGATTTTCGAAAAAATCAAAGCTTTTATCCAAAGAATCATCATCGTTTTCACCCTTATCGACTTTTTCAACTTTTTCGCCGTTATCACCGCTTCCGCTAGCCATTTTTACTGTCATTAAAACATTACATTACCATGGCAACTAAAGTTTCCATGGAAACATTTAAAAATTGTAGGAAACTGTAATCGAAAATTCGTTTTCACGCAATAGATGGCTCTTTTTGAATTGAATTGTTTAAAAAAAATGGTTTTGTAAGATCAACTAGTGAATAGTGGTAAATTTAAGACCTACATTTCCATTTCAATACCGAAAATCAACCGTCTAAGTTATCCCCACGCGTAGGGTATTCATCATAACTCCCTTCGTACACGTTCGATATTAAAGTCACGTTCGACACTAAATCGTGTCCGAAAACCTCTTATATCACTTAATAAACCATCGTTGAATCTAAAGGGATCGTAAATGATGTTATTTTATTGGTTAAAAATATTAATTCGACGTTTTGAACTAGTCGAGTTTAGTTGCATTTTTATTATAACTGACTATTTATTTTTTCTTAATTTTTAGAAACGCAGAATTTCGAAATATGCATCACCTTTCAAAGGATTGAAGAAGATTTCATGTTATTCCAACTATTTGAAAGTGAAGACGAAGGTATGTTGCATTAATTTTGGATTATTTTTTAAACTCTAAATGCACGAACAATCTAAAAATGGACCACAACATGACTAAAATAAGTATTGAAGTCATTTGTAACCAAAATATACGACGAGAAATTTGCACTATGAAGATTATATCACTATATTATCTTCAATAATCAAATGTGCAGTGTTTTGCTTAAAAAACTCTAAAAATGTTGTTTATGAAAAAGAAGAAATAATTTAAGGCACACTCAAACTAGATGAATTTTGCTTTAAAACGTTGTTTATTACGTCTTTATATCTCAATTCATTCTTGAGATATGGTATTTTAAACATGCAGAGTTGGATTTAAAAACTCGTAGCAACGATGATTATGGAAAACAAGAAATTATCTATCGCACAGTAAATCTGCATCAAATTTGCTGTAATATGGTCCTTATTTCATGATGATATCTCAATCCGTTCTTGAGATATTCTATTTTTAAATATGTAACAATACAACTTGCAGGGTTGGGTTTAAAAAATCGTAGCAACGATGATTATCAAAAACAAAAAATCATCTATGGCATAGTTAATCGTCATCCAATTTGCTTTAATATGGTCGTCATTTCATGATGATATCTCAATTCATTATTGAGATATGACATTTTAATTTTCTAATTTTAAATATGTAACAATACAACATGCAGAGTTGGATTTAAACAATCGTAGTAACGATGATTATGGAAAACAAGAAATTATCTATGGTACAGTAATTTTGCATCAAATTTGCTTTAATATGGTCCTTATTTCATGGTGATATCTCAAATCGTTCTTGAGATATGATTTTTTAAATTTTTATTCTTCACATCTGCAGTAATCAAATGTGCAGTGTTGGCTTAAAAGATTCTGTTTATCCCATGGCCCCAAATTTTGGACATAAAGATACTTCCGTTTTATATTAACGTTCATTAGAATTTGGGCTGGTTTTTTGACCCCTGAATGAACTGTAAATTGTGGGGATATACAAAGGGCCCGCTGGGGCCTAAGTGCTGTGAAGGAATTCACCCCCACACGAACCTACATACATACAAGGCTAAAAGTTTATTATTGATAGGTTTGTTTAAAAAAGAAATTAATAACAATGTTAAACAGCGTTTATTTTAAAATTGCCACCATTTTTTTAATTACAATTATTGCCAATAGATGGTGGTTATTTCGACATTTTTTAATTTATTTAAAAAAAAATTGCAAAAAACCTTTAGGTGTTGATTTAATCAATTCAAATCGATTTAAAATTGTTTAATTAATTCAAAATTAGTTAATCCCTTTCAATTTTACACCATCATTTAACAATAAAAAAATCAAAAACAATATGAAGTTAGTTACAAACAAACCTAAAAAAATTAAAATGTAAATTTCGTAGCTTTTTGTACGAGAACGCCGACAAGGACGACGCTGCGACGTTTTAATAGGCGTCGCGCGTCGTCGATGCGTCACGACGCGCTCAGTCCGCGCGAAACCGTCGTCGAGATCGGTCTTCGCCGTTTCAACAATTCAAATTTCCCGCCGAACAAAAGACGAGTACGAGATTGGTCGCAATTTAATTTTTATTTTGACAGTGTGTAAAAAACGTTGGAAAGAATAAGACGAAGATTTATTTTCCACGATTAAACTAACTCAAATTGATAATAAAACGTGTATAGATATTAGATAGTGAGTTGTGATTATTGAAGATTTGAATTTTGAAGAGATCGATTTTTATTTGGGTTAAAAATTTGAAGGTTATCTTTTACCGTGGTGAGGTTAAGGTAAGTTATCCTTTTTTTAATCATATTTAAATGAATATTGTGTTATAATTGTTTTTCTTTTTTTGTTTGAGTTGACAAATAAGTTCTTGGAAGTTATTGTTAGAAGGAAAGTACTTGTGATGTAGTTTGAAAAGTTTTATCGGCAAAGTTGGGAAGGGTTGTGGAAGAAAAGCTCTCGTTATTCGTTTATACCCTTCGCTTAACCTTTAAAAAGTTTTTTTTAACTTTCAATTTTAGCCCAATTGAAACAATTCCTCATTTTGATCAAATTACCCAATTATCAAATGTGCTAATTATGACATTTATGACATTATTAATTTTTTTAGGTTATTACTTTAATTTTAATTGAAATTGTGATTAAAATTATGTTTTCTCCATGCTAAAACAACAATCTCTAATTATGCCAAGTTAGGATGTTGGATTTGAGTGACATTTTAGCTACACAAACTTAAAGTTGAGCTTAGTTCAACATTCGCACATTAATAATTCCTCCCTTTCATTTATAATTCTCATGGAATTCTGATGTAAATTTTCTTTCCGGTGGTTGCTGGATTCACGTTAATTAATTATCATGAAAGGGGGTGATTCCACCCCCGAACACATTAATGTTATATGATTTAAAAGGATTGGAATAAAGAAGTGTTTAAATATAGGTGGAAGTAATTAAAAATTTTATTGGGAGAGGTTGTGCTTGGGTAATTGCTACTTGATTAATTAAAAAGCGTCCATGGGCAGGGTTTGAAATTAAATTGTCAAAGTTTGTGGCGCAGGTTAACCCTCTAGTAAAACGGGGGGCAACGTTTTTTTTTTGTTGTTCCCCCGTCCCAAATTCCGTGAGAATTGAGTTTGGAAAGTTGAGGAAAAGGGTGGGTTTAACCGGAAACAAGGCGCAAAAAACATTTTTTGTACTCCCCCTGTTTGAAGTGAAATTAAAAAAAAAAATAATGTGATTTATAGGAAATTTTTGCCATCAACTATTGTATTTGGGGGCTGTTTACGATCTCTTCGCGATACCCTTCCCCCATTTCGAGGGTGACGATGAAAAATGACCACAACCGAAGCGCAGACATCCCACCCTCGTTTTAGAGCACCCCACTGGGGGGCATCGAGAAACCGAATCGCGTTTTCGGGGCAATTTTGGTTTTGCTATGTCTACCTACCGCGTAGTTTGCACGTTTTGAACCGGATGCGATATTAAATTATGACAGGGTGATGTAGAACATGACGTGGAAAATGGGGCTGCTACATTTACGAGCGGATCAAATTAATTTAATGGAAAATACACTAAATATCTTTTTAATTGAGTGTTATATTTCAAAACCATGTTTTGGAATTGACAGCACATCAAGATGGTGTATTCATCAAAATCGATTAGATTTCAATTACATACGTTTCATAAAAAGAATTAAAAGGAGACCTTCACCCTAAACATCCCCCCTTCCTCACGTTTGAATCGCGGAGCTTTTAGCAAATTGTACCAATCTGGCTTTCCATTAATCAGCGGTTTTCGACCGTCGAAAACCCCTTCGTCGAAACTAATTTCAACCACACCCCCTCATTCGATGATAAATTTAAAGCACGTCAACATCGAAGCTACACATCCATCACTCATTTAAAAAATAAATTTTCACTACTTTAATTTCTTTGATTAAGGTATTTTTTAATGAATTTTATTTTAATTTTTCCTTTTTTGTCGTCTGCGTCGCGTGTTACTTTTAGAGGGGCGTCGCGGCGCCAACCTAATTGATTTAGGCGCGCCCTCGCCGTCTCCGCCACCGGTGGTTTGTGCTAATGGAGATTAACAAAGGTTCCGCGTGGGGCGCCAAAAAGGAACCCCCGAGGTCGGAAGGATTAAAAGAGAAGGCGTTTATGAGGATGAAAGGTAGTGGTTGTAAAGAGCCTCTTAAAATGCGCTATTAGTGGAGTAGAGGATGTAGAAAATTTAAAACTATTATGATTTAGGTGAATGAAAAAATTGTGTTTCGTTTCCTTTTAAATTTTCTTTATTTATGTCTTGAATTAAATATTCTTTTAATCATCGGTGTAAGAAATATCTTCTTGGGGTGTTTTAAACACTTTTAATATTCACAATTTTATTCTGAACACTTTTAAATTTCTGCAAATCAATTTTTTTATCCTCGTTAAGTATCTTGATAAGGTTTTGATTCACACCAATCATGTTTTCCTATATTCAAAAGTCTTTGAATTTTCTGGAAAACGTCACCTTTAACATTATCAACTCGTTTTATCTTGGTCAAATAACCTCGAGATGTTTATAATCAGTTAATACCATTTTGACACATATCAATAAGGTTTCCCTATACATTATCGAAATTGAAGTATGCTTGTATTGCTTAGTTATAATACTATACTTCTAATCCGCAAATGGTCGAGCATGTGCCCAAAAAAAAAACATTCTTCCAAGACGAAAAAGTAATCTGCACACTGCTATATGTAATTTACTTCACAGACAACGTTGGGTCAATATGTAGACCCAGAAGCTGATCCAGTCCAAGCTGATAGAGTCAGCTATTTGCAAGCCATTTTGCGCTTATCCGATCAGTCACATTCACATTTTTCTATTTAGCTAAGAATGGGAACTATGTTATTAGTATAGCTTTGCATAGCTTGACTTCCGGAGCTATACTAATAAAGTGGCTGCAATCTCAGCATGTTTCTTCTTGAGGTGCCTATCCGATTTGAACGTTGGCAATTATGTGAGCTGTCCATGGTATTTTGAGCATTCGTTTGTATAGCCACATTTCAAAGGCTTCCAGTTTTTTAGTTATGGCTTTTGTCAGGTCCAAGATTCCATGCGGTATAACAGTTTGGAAAACACATAATATTATAAGTACGAAGGCTTTCACGGCCGGTGTGAATTAAACTAAGATTAGAACTAAAACTAGAACTAACACTAGAAACTTTCGGGTTTTGCCGTGCGTCTTTTAATAAAAGGTTTGACGTTTCGGATGCCATGTTGCAACCTTCTTCAGAAACTGGTTCGAAGTGACGAGATCAAAAAATCGGTAACTATATATAAGTCGGAAAAACTAATTAATAATCAGTTAACGCTAATTACAAACTAATTAATAACTAATTGCGTCGCGTCCGGTGTGAGGCGGGAAGAGGTCTTCGTGTTCACCACCATCTTCCATGTTCTGCTAAGCTCCCAGCCATCCTCTCTGTTGACGTTATTTTTATGTCGGTGAATCTCTATGGCTTCTCTTGTCAGTCTTTGGTAGTATCTGTTGTCCCTAGCCAGCACCTTTGTTTGTTCGAAGTCTATTCGGTGCCCCTCTGCATGGCAATGTTCCGCAACCGCCGACTGCTGGATCTTCTTCAGCCTTACATCCCTCTCATGCTCCTTGATGCGGCACTCGACGTTGCGTCCAGTTTGGCCAACATAAACCTTCCCACAACTACACGATAGTCGATAGACTCCCGCTCCTTTTAATGGAGTTAGTTTGTCCTTGGCTATCGGGAGTGTGTTCCGAATTTTGCTGACCGTGCCGTACCGCACTACGATGTCGTTCTTCTTGAGGTGCCTAGCAATTCGTTCCGTTACACCTGAAACATAGGGAAGACAGATAAATCCAAGTGGTTTTGTACTTACCGTGTCCTCTTTCTGCTTTCGCTGCTTGATGGCCTGGTTGATGTCCCTCGAAGTGTATCCATTCTTCTGCAGCACGCCTCGTAGAAAGTGTTGCTCCTTCTTCAAGTTCTCTCCTTCACATAGTCTCGCTGCTCGCTGAAATAATGTACGGATCACGGACCTCTTCTGTTGGGGATGATGATGTGAACATGCCTGTAAATACCTGTTGGTATGGGTCTTCTTTCGGTATACACCAAGTTCTATATCTCCATTTGTCGTCCTGGTGACCAACACATCTAGGAAAGGTAGTTTTTTGGCAGTTTCTGTTTCCATGGTGAACTTAATCATAGGATGTTGAGAGTTCAAGTGATCCAAGAACTCTTGGAGCCGTTTTTGACCATGTTGCCATATCACAAACGTGTCATCCACATATCGGAGCCATAGTTTTGGTTTCCACTGGCTCTTCTTCAAAGCGTCCTCTTCGAATAATTCCATGTAGAAATTAGCTATAACTGGCGATAGTGGAGATCCCATGGCTGCCCCTTCGAACTGCTCGTAAAATTCTCCTTTCCAGCTGAAATACGTCGACGATAAGCAATACTCCACCAGATCTGGCACGTATCCTGGTAAACCCTCCGGAATGAGTTTTCGGCGAAGACCCTCTACAGCATCCTTAACTGGTACCCTAGTAAAAAGGGATTCCACATCGAAACTTACCAACATATCCCCAGCATCCAGCTTTACACCTTTTACCGATTCCACAAAATGTGTAGAATCCCTGACATACGATTCCGTGTTACCTGTAAAGGGGGACAGAATCTTTGCAAGATGTTTAGCCAGCTGGTATGTTGGGGAGTTGATGGCGCTGACGATAGGGCGGAGGGGGACGTCTGGTTTGTGAATCTTCGGTAGTCCGTAGATTCTTGGTGGTACCGGCGCCTGCACAAACAAACCTTTCTGCTGTTCTGCTGGAATTCCTGTGGATTTTATCAGTTCCTTCATTTTTCTAACGATTTTGTCTGTGGGGTCCTTCTTGATCTTCCTGTAGGTGGCTGGGTCCAGTAAGTTCATCATTTTGTCGTCGTATTCTTTCCTGTCCATAACAACGGTGGCATTCCCCTTGTCTGCTGGTAACACGACGATTTCTGATTTTTCTTTTATAGATCGGAGTGCCTTCTTTTCACCAACCGTCAAGTTGGATTTTGGTGGTTTTGCTGACTTCAATACTCTCGCAACTTCTTGTCGGATCTCTTCGGCTTTCAGTGCAGGCATCCCTCGAACAGCTGCTTCCACTTCGCAGATGATTTCCTCCTTTGGGACCTTCTTCGGGGAGATTGCGTAGTTTCGCACAAAGGTTTCGTCTTTCGTTAGTGGGACATTCGATCTGTTAATGACGATTGTTTCTACT